CCTGAAAGATCTTTTGGGAGATTAATTTCAAAGCCTTTATTCTCTCAAGCACAGGAGAGATCACAGAACAGTATTTTGAAATGAATGGCCTGCTCCCTGTCCAGGGAGGCAAAAACTGTAACCTGTTAGGGCCCAAGGAGATACATCCTATGCCAGTGGTGACAGGGACACTGGAGGGAAAAGAACCAGAGCTGACAGGCAGGAAACTCACTTCCCTGGGACAGCTCACCACTGAGCTCAGCTTCCCAAATCGACATCTGTTCGTATAGAACATATTCCAGTTAATTCTGAGCAGCCTATTTAATTTCTATACAGCTCAGTATTTGTTTTCTATACACTTGATCTCAGCCAAAGGCTAAGTGATTTGTTTTCCATATAATCATCAGCAAAGCTGTTCAGTGCCCCAAGGCAGCAAACAATAATAATTCTCTTACAACCACTTCTGAAGGACCAATTGCCCTTCATTTTAATGCAAAGTTTTCATTAGAAACTCTTGACTGAAATTAGGTACTCTCTGTTCATCACCCACAATTCTAAGGAACAAAGAGTTATTTTAGCTTAATTTATAGAGGTTTCAGTCCATAGCCTAAAACCAGGGTAGGGTGAAATGGCAGAGAGGTGTGGCAGGGGAGAAACAGTCAATAGCATGGTGGCAGAAAGCAGCCAGGGATCAATCAAGGGAGGGGCGAGACCCTTCCAGGCCATGCTTTCCATGACCCACCTTCCCTGACCAGGTTTCACTCTCCAAATTCATCTTTATCTGTAAACTCTTCAGCAAGCTAATCACTGATGAGTATCTCGTCCCCATGTTCAACTGTTATAGGCAACTAAAATGAAAATATTCTAGGCAGTCAGATAGGGTTAGACCCTCAAAGGAGCCAGGGCAGAAGATGAGACACCTTACTGTTGTAGGCTAAAATATAGGTAGTCAGAGAGGGCTAGGCCCTTAAGGAGCCAGTGTGGAAGACAAGATACCTTGCAACTGTGGGAGAGACAGGCACTCCTGCTGTGGGTGAGACCTCAAGACAAAAGATCAAACAAATTCAGTCACATAGCTCCCTAGGGATAAGCATCAGGGATTGATATTCTAAATAGGTACAAATCACCTTGAAAAAGTCAGGGACAGCCTCTAATCCAACACCCTACAGGAAAAGCCCTGTTCTATACTCATGCCCACTTGCTATGTGATCTGCTTCCCCATTTGATCCTGATTTAATCAAATTTACCTGAGCAATTACACTCATAATCTTATTGGTTGGTGACAGTTTTGTCCCACCTCATGCCCACCTTTTGATTTCCCAGATTGTCTACCTTGGACCCACCTCATTTATTTCCTCTTTAAAAAATCTCTAGAAAAGGCAGAATTCTTGGCAACCTAGTTGGGATTCCTGTCTCTCTCAGACAGAAACTTTCTTTCCCCCAGTAAATATATTCTGCTCTTAATCTCCATTGTACCTAAAATTCATTCTTTGATTTTAGAGACCATGAACTCATACCAGACATCTAGCAGGTTGGGAGCTTTCCCCCTATGTCCCACCTTTCCAAAGCCCCACCTGTGAACACAAGGAAGCTTTGGGGGATATATAGATTGAAACCATTACAGGTACAATTAGAAATTTCTAGAGAAATCTCTGATATACTTTCCCTAAAAACAAAGAAAGAAAAAAAGAAACCATTTTCCATAAAAATTAGTAAAGGGTTATGAAATTGTTAATAAGAATTTTTTTGAATTTACTAAAAACAATTGAACGATAAATTCATTTCTCCTGTGTTCTCAGCTCTAATTCTCAAAACAAGCTATGGTTTAGGCAGCATTGTTGTCTTGATTTTACTATAAATTGATGCCAGCAAGGTTAAATGACTTGCCCAAAGGCAATGCCTGCATAAGCAGACTCTTGCTTGAAATCTAGATTGATGAGTTCACAAAAGTAAACTCTCACGTTATCAGTAGTGTGGCTAAGATGGAAAATAACAGTAAGAGTTGCCAGCCTGAATCATTTACTTATAGAAGTTTCTATACAATAAGGAATCTAGGGGATACATCAGGATTAATATAAACAGAAAATTCAGATTCAATCTTTCTATGTGTCCTAGAAAAATTCGTATTTTAGTTAATAGCAGCAACCACTTCAGCAAGGAGTAGGCAGTTAATCATCTGCAGTAATACCGGATCCACGGGATATTATTCCTTGACAGACTGGGCTGCTTGTCTGTATGGTTTTGCTGATGCAGCTGCTCCTCCTTGGCGCTTGAGAAAGGTTTTCTAATTTATAGTCTGAAGTTAAAATTAGCTAAGTTTTAAAAGCAGCACAAAAACCATATGCATCTTTCTGTCCCTGTCTCAGAACACCGCCTTCATTTTGCCCACACTCTTTGCTTGAGTGACTGAACTCTAGGTTTCTAAAGAAGCAAGGAAAAAAAAAAAAAAAAATAACAGCAGGACATAGAAATTATGGCAAAACTACATAAGATATGCTACAGTAATGGAAAAGAATTATATTGGTTTGGTTTCTATTGTCACTTTCAAAATCAATATAAAGAAGGCAAGGCAAAGAATTGATATTTTCAGTGTTTTTGTTTCATTTCCTCCCGTGTCACAGTCACGTCCTACTTACCACTGTCTGCACACATGCAGGAAAATGAAAACAGACTGTGCTTGCTACAGGCCACAAACAAGGTTTCTTTTTATCTGGCATCGAGCAACTCCTAGAAGCATGTTTCTTGTTGTTCCATTACTCACAGATGGGTTTAGCTTTTGTTGATTTTGTTTTATAGCATTTATCAAAAAAAAAAAAAAAAAAAAACACAAAAGCACCCTCTATGAAGGAAAAATCAGCATCTCTTAAATTCTTCAACAAGGAACTTATTTAAAGTGGCAAATACATATCCAGCAAGGCTAAGCCAGATCACTTTCAATGTTATTAATTTTTTTATGAAAATAAAAGGTCTTAGGAATACAAGCAATGTTTAAAAGTATTTCTCCTTTTTAGGTGTCATTGTAAACATTTCTGTTATCTTGGGGATAGTGCTACAAAAAGCTTCATGCTTTATCCTCAGCATAAAGGTTTTTCTGCAGCTCCCAGGTTGCTAAACAAATACAATGCAACTATGTACCTTATTATCCCCAAATGCATGCTCTGTTGGAAATATGCTTAGATAAATCTAGGCTCAGATCACTTTTTCAAAGCCTTATTTTGTCCTCACCTGTAGCACCTCTTTTCCTAAAACATTATTGAAAAACACAAAATGGCCTTGACTCACTCTCTGTTCCCTGCTTGGCCTTTTTTTTGGAAGAGTAAGGGTGGAGAGGGCTTGGAAGTAAAGAGTCTGAAGGAGGAATAGCAAGACTTCCTGCTGAACACAAAGAGGAAGAATCAGCTCTTAAAGACAGTTGACATATTAGAGAATCAGGCTTGTAATAATTGGCTGTAAAAAGAGTCTACAAAGGTAGCGACTAACAAGAAATAATCTATTTCTGAAAAACACTTCTGCTTCTTCCTGTACTTATTTAAAAATTAATAGTGTGTAGAACAGTATTCTGTTCAAGGATTCTTTTTTTTTTTTTTTTTTTTCCCTGCATTTTAGGGAAGGGTCTACAGGATGTTCAGGGTCTCACTACTGGATCAGACTCATAGTGATCTGCCTTTTTACAGCCTCCCAAGAGCTGAGATTACAGGCATGTGCCACCACGCCCAGTTTCAATTGCTGCTCCAGTGTGCCCCAGGGCTGGGGCCCACACAGCAGGGGGGGATGGAGTCCCTGGCCCCTGCACCTGCTTGCAGGGCTTTAATCCACTGAACTATTTGGCCAGCCCTGTTCAGGGATTCTTTACCCAAAGAAATGTTATGCAAGTTTTACTAACGTACCTGATTATTAAGTGCTAGTTACTCTGCACGGTAAACAAAATACAAATCAATATACAAGTCTCATGTTAAAAGAACAATAAATTCTTTGAAGTTCTTCTTGAAGCTTCAGCTATCTAGTTAAGGGAAGTTTTAATGAGAAAAGGAGGAGAAAAAACAATGCAAGAGGAAAGCCCTCTTCTTAAACACCAAGAAGCTAACTCAGGTTTAAAGTTGGGTCCCAGAGGCCCTGTCTCTCAGATGAGCACTCATTCTGACAGGCTGTAGGGGACGTGGTCTCTGGCAAGGAAGAACAGGCCAAGAAGAGAGGGCCACAAAAGCTTGGAGATCAAACGCAAACCTACACTCACATCAAGCCCAGCTACACTCAGCACTTCTCTAGCATCAGTCTACAGAAAGCAATTAGCTCAGGGATACACAGTACGGTAAAATTTGCTTTCAACATAGTTCGAAAATTGAATTTCTTCTCTTTTTTTGTCCATTCACAATAAAATATTTACAGAGATTTAACATGATTATGTTAATTGCAACATACATAACATCCATTTCACTTTATAAAGTAAATTTTAATCAAACTACACACATTTTCTGAAGTGTACATACCCAAACCAGAGGCTCCAAGTAGTGAGAAACATAACAATGAGAAATATTACACACATCTAATCTCTTATCAAACACAGTCTTGGCTGATTATTTTTTGTATTTGAGGCTTTACATAGTTTGATCTTTTTTTTTTTTTTTTTTTTCGGATCCGCGTATTGAACTCAGACCCTTGCGCTTGCCAGGGAAGCACTTATTCCACTGAGCCATCTCCCTGGCTCCATAGTTTGATCTTTCTGGAATTTTTAAATCAATTCCTAAACAGAAACAGTATTCTTCAGTAGAACAGAGAAGAAGTAGGTTTCTTGGTCTTCTTGCCCAGTCTTGGCCTAGATCTTAAAATATCAACAACACCTAAAGTCTTTAAGTCCATTTAAACATGTCTATTTTTACAAAAACTTTGTTTACAGAGTTGGCTCATTATGCATTGCTGGATGATCAGTAAGATTAAAATCGGACCTTCAACTTTCTAAGGTCAATGTTGTTATCCTTGATTTACATTATCTAATAATGAAATCAAATAAATGAACACCTCACCTTGTGATGCCCAAATTCATTCAAAATACTTCCCAGTTTTCTGGTGTTGCTGTATGGTTTTTGGTTGGCCAGAGCAGGATGAGGATCCCGCCAATCGATGGACAGGCGGTGATACCACAAGTGCTGACTCTCAAGAACATGAGCCGATTTGACGCTAGGGTCAAAACGGTGCACCTCACATCCATCATTGGCCATGCTCACCTCAAAATGGGTATCATCACTTCCCAGCCTGGACAGAAAAAGGACAGCAATCAACAACAAAAACATAACACGGTGAAGTGGTGGCTCCACATGACAGTATCAAGGCCAATTTTCTTATCCTGAGACTTCCCCTATTTTAATACATGTAAAATGTACACATTCAATGAATTTTCTTTTCTCCTCCCCAAATAAAAACATTATAACTCAAACCCTTTGAATAAAATAAAAATAAATTATTTACTAAACACAGACCAGAATATCACATGCTCAAGCATATAGAAGCATATCAAAAAGATTTTTTAAAAAGATATAAATCATAGTAGCAGTGAGATCAATCAGGATATCTTCTGGTGGTAATAAACTTTCTCAAAACATGCAGGAAGTATAATCCCTAGATTCATTCCCTTGAAGAGAGGTGCATTCTACTGAGATAATTTGTCTCCATTCTAATGTCTACAGTGCTGTGTAAGCATTTGCCGTAAAGGCAACAGCTGTTTTCTTAGAAAAGGAGTGTTTATTTTAAATACCACAGCTAAAGAAAAGAAAAAAAGGCAAATATACATGGATCTACTACATCCAGAACACAAGAAGCAAAGCAGACCTTTATCTAAATTCATATCACCAAAAGGAAAAAAATTATGAATTAATTCTGCATAAAGTAGTAAGTAGAAAAATCACATGGGCAATTAATCTACTTATAAATACTGAATTTATTCAGAAATATTTTTATTTGATGTTATAAGAATCATTGCTTCAACTAAAGCACCAATTTGAATGAAAAAGCATAATATTAATCAAAAATACTCTATAATTATATGTTCTTTAGTATAGTCAAAGCCCACAGAATACCTGTAATACATTGGCCAAACTTGAACCCAGACAAAAATGCTTTATTATTGTAAACTACTATTTTGGGCTGCTGCATAAAATAGAAACATACAAGCTCAGTGGATAGCAATTATCTGTCAGGCTTGAGTCAACTAAAGTCTTCAGTGTAGAGATCCTCCACCAGACCTTTGTAAGACTCTTATTTGCCTCCTGCTGTCCCTTTGCCCACTCACTGGGTTCCATGACATGCCAGTCAACCTTCTAGTGTTCCTCAACTATGGACTCCCTTCGGCTAGAGAAAAATTCACTACCCCTCTCAAATACACTCATTTCTTCTCCATGACAAGACCTGCTTTCTGTTTTTTACTTTCCTGTTGGGTTCACACAGTTCAGACCTTGTAATTTCTACCCAACTTTCCTCCCAGTTTTTCCAGGATCTAACCTGCTGTGGCAGATTGGCTCACTGGCCCTAATTCTTTCCTCTTCTTTCATCCACTGTGTTGTTCCTGAGGGAGTGTTCTTTCTGCCCCTTGAGTTTTTGGACTTGGTCATGTGACTTAAGAGAAGGAAGTCACAGGATGCCTTATCTTTGGCCTTGAGTGCTTTACTCTCTGACCATAGAATCAAAATAAAAATGTGCCCAGGATAGCTTGTTGGTGTCAAGAAAATAAGAGCTATGAGGAGCAGGTGGCAATCACAGCTAGTCAACCAGTCTTCAATAAAGAACAGAACTGCCTTCGCTGGCTTATCTTGAAATACAGTATCCTAGCTGAGGCCATCCTGGACTGCCTGAAGCCCAGTTGGCCTGCAGACACACAAGCAATGATAACTGATGGGGGTTTTAAACCACATGTAGAGTGATCTGTTACAAAGCGGTAGCTGTCTGATACACCTGGTATTCAATACAAACCCGACTTACAGCCAGGACAAGCATTTTTAATATATAGATTTATTTCTCTACAAATAGACTGTCATAGATGTCATCTATCACAAAAGCTTTTTCATTTTAACCTTGCTGAAAGTTAGATAAGCAAAGTAATGTTAACATAGGTCGTACAGTGGGAAAGGATAATTCTATAACTTCAACAAAACATTCAGTCAAAAGGACTCATTAAGTACGGTCTGTATATGAGCTTCCTAGAGTAAAAATGTACATAGCGGGGGCATAGCTCAGGGGTAGAGCATTTGACTGCAAAAATGTACATACTTTCTTCCTCAGAGAATTTTCAGAAAATTTTAGAAGACTTTCCTACTTGAAAGCACCAACTTCTATTTAATCAAGATCTTTAATAAACTTAAGAATTAAATGAGCTACATAACATTTTGTAACTAATCATTTGGGCAAAGTACTTTATTATATATTTATTCCAATTTAAACTTTTTATTATTAAAAAATCACAAATACACAAAAAATCTAATTGTAAGAAGTATATAAAATGAAAAGTAGAAGTTTTCTACTGCTAATTTCCAGTGATTAACATGGTTGGCGATATTTGTATACCTTTTTCAGACATACACAAAGTGTTTTCTATTACAAATTACCTTAAGTATAGATATACACATATGAGTTAAGCATTAAGTAGTAGAGATTATTATATATGATATAGGTAAACTAATAACATTAAATTATCAGCAGTCTGTAATTTTTACCTTAACTTACATTACTTTTACTTAATCCATTTGATCTTATATGAGTATGAACTGTACTGGAAAACATACATCATATTAATTTAACGCTCTTAACTCTTACTTTCACTTACTTTAAATGGTTTTTCTTCAGGCTTAGTTTAGTCAAGAATGTAATAGACACAAAAAGTAAGAACAAATGGAATACAGAGAAGTGTTGCAAAACACAACCCAAAGTATTAAAACCAGGAGTTGGGGTATTTCCTAGAGATTTCAAAGCACATGCTTGTTATACTTCACCTTACAGTAGATGAACCCAGGACAGGGCAGGAGAGAGGAATATTGATGATCTCAGTGGCCTAGAAAACTGCCAGTTACTAAGACTGGGCATGGCGGTGAGCACCTGTAATCCCAGCACTTGGGAGGCTGAAAACAGAAGGATCGCTATGAGTCCGATCTATATAGTGAGAGCCTGTAGACCCTGCACTAAAAATACATTTAAAAAATTTAGGAAAAAAAAAGAAAATTTCCAGTTACTAGATAGCAAAACTCCATGAAGAAAAGTTCTGTGTCAACCTTGCTCATTTCTGAATCCTCAGTGATGGGAAAAGAAATAATGACACACAGACTTAATAAATCCTGCCCAAACTATAAGAAAATTGTGGATGAAATCTGACAATCCCACAATATACTGTACAATAGCCAAACATAGCATGTAGTAGACTTCCTTTTACTGACTTATTCATGTCTACAGACACATATTTGTAGAATATTTTATATGTGCAGAGAACCACAGAGGACATAGGAAGCAAATGGATAAATTAATCTAAGCAATAAATTGATCTAAGCAAGCTCACAAAACAGTGATGAAGAGCTTTGAACAAATAACTATATTGACAACTATTATCTACAGCAAGGATGTATTTAGCTCATAAAGAAATCATTTTATGTTGCTGTTTGGAGAAAATTTCACTGTAGAAAATTTTAATGGATAGAAAAATTATGTTGTTTGATGTTCGTTCCAGGAAGCAAGAAGAATAGAGCATATGGCTTCCATATCAAGGTCTAAGATGACTGTTCCATTGTCTGCTATCCCATCTGTATTCCAATCATCAAGAGAGTGGGAGGGGAATCAATGGTCACATCTTTTTCTCTAGCCTCCAGCCCGAAAGCTCTACACATCACTTCCACTTACATGTGACCACGTAGTACTGCAAGCAATGCCCAGAAATATACCCATGGTAGGGTGGCCATGTGCCCTGGTAATCTCAGAAGTTCTGTTACTAAAGGAAGAACAGGAGAATGGATATTAAGGGACAATTATCAGTTCCTTCTAACAGCTCACTTCTGAAGTAGCTGAGCAGTTAAGACCTATATTTAAAAATATTAGCCTTTGAATTGCAACTGCAACTTCTGCCTCCTTATGGGGGAGACAGAATTGTGTAATCTGAGTTTAATATATTATTCTCCATAAACTGATGCCAGGGTTTGAGGTCACAATGACTTTTCAGCATAGGATCATCAAATCTAAGAGCTACTGAAGAAATAGGGGGAATTTCACAGGGCTACATTTCCAAAGGTAACAGAATAATCAAGTGGCTACTTTGGCTCTCCTCTCATGGCTTAAAGAAAAACAACCAGGATCCCTGCATGCAGTTGTATGGACTGTGTACTAAACAACTCTAGGAGATGCTGTTCCCATCATAATAACCATAATGATGATTTTCTAGCGGATTGCACTTGGGGTTCTTGAGGGAGGCCTGCTTCTTTTGCAAGTTGGACAAAAGTATTTTTCACTAGCTCTGAGTGTTGCTGGAAATAAATCACATGCCATTTCATATTACTGAAGGATAAGAGAGATGAGTTGTGAGACTATGTCAAGCCTTTGGTTATTCTTTTAAAAACATCCTTGAGAGTATTAAGGTGAGTAGCTCTTGTGTTCCCTAGGTAGAGTGATAACTCAGAACCCAAGTTCATGAAAAGATGCTTTAGACCATTTGTCAGTAGGGAAACACAAATCAAAACCACAGTGGAATAGCTCTTCACATTCACTAGGATGGCTAAAACTGAAAAGTCAAAGAATCAGAAGTTTTGGTAAAAATAAGAAGAAATTGTTAATGTTACTGCCATCCTCATAGATGACCGGTGGAAAGCTAAAATGGCACACATCCAAACTAAATGAAGACAGGCTCACCTATAAACTTATACATGACTGTTCAACATTCATAATAGTGAAAAATGAAAATAATCTAAACTGATGAGCAGATAAATGGAATTTGGTATCCTCATACAATGGGATATTGTTTAGATATTAAAGGAAAAGTGCTGATACATGCTATAATGTGGATGAACCTTGAAAACATTATTCTAGGTGAAAGGAAAACACTGCAGAGGACCACATATTACATGATTCTATTTATATAAAATGTCTAAAATATGATTCGATAGAGACAGAAAGTACACTGGCAAGAGTTTCAGGCTGGAGAACGCAGGGTTAGGGAAATGAAAGTTGGAGGAAAACTGGGCGCAGCTACTCTCAGGTTCAGGGCTTCTTTTGGGGGATGATGAAAATGTTCTTAAATCACTCCTAGTTCCTAGAAATCACTGAGTTCAATACTTTGAATTTATGGATTATATCTCAGTACAGCTGTTTGCAAACCTAAAGAATATAACCCAAAAGCAGATACAAGGAAAGTTTTTAACTCTCATCATTGAAGGAAGAGAGGCTGGAAGAGGTAAGAGAGTTAATATTTTCCCGAGGAGTTTCAGTACTTCATCCTTTATTCCAGCAGGAATCAGAGAATCTGGCCAAATGATTACATAGGTGTATAAACTGTCAACTGCCAGAGGGCGAGAAATAAGATTTGCAAAGCATAAATGACATTTAATGGTGGATATAAAATACTTTAGGATTATTGATTTTTGTTTAATCACATTGCATGTGCTCTCAAGATTTCATCTAAAAGATGTATCTTTAACAGGAACAACAGCACTCTCAGAAGAGGGAAGTGGATCTTATTGAAGAGGCAACAAATATTCCTCTCTTTCCATATAAAGCACTGATAGGGCTGGGGAAATAGCTCAGTGGCATAAGTGCATGCCTAGCAAGCACAAGGTCCCAAGGTCAATACCTGGTATCACAAACACACAAAAAAGATATACACTACATAAAGAGATGTATAGTACATCTATGATATTAAAAGTTCATGGAGAGATGATCAGAAAAAAAATATCTACAAAGGGACCTAGAGGTCTAAAATATTCTTATTCTCCTATGTAATTTGGTTTTTCCCCCCATAATTTTATTGATAAACAAATAGCAATGAGACAGTTTCAAATCAAATTGGTAGGACAGTTTCAATAATTAACACACTGCATACATTCTTCCTAATGGTTAACTGCTGTACAAGATGCGGACATGATATCCTATTTACAAACACCATTAGAACAAATCCCTCTATTCATTAAAAGAATGTAACTATATATCTATCCTAACCACTTTGAATACACAGATACAAAATGGACATTCATCTGTATCCCCTTTTTTTTGTTGTTTCATTATTTCAATATTATAGGTGTGTAAACTCAGCAAAATATTCTAAAAGAGTCCAGTAGCCCATAATAGTATTGGGTCTTCCGCTTGACTGGTAATGTCAGAAATTGTTGACCTGAGTCCCCCACAGCTCAACGTAACACCATGGCTTTACTTCTTTCCTATGTAATTTGGTGTATATATACCTTATACTACACACTGGTGCAATCTTGTGTCTTACACTAAGAGTTTAAATTTTGAAGCCAAGAACTATGACTTCTTATAGAACTAAAGTGGAGAATGCTTACCTTTGTGCTATCTCTTCTCAAGTCTTCTCTTTCTTACCCATTTCTACCCCTAAAATATAATCTTTGACATGAAAAGAAAAATATGTGCTATTCCCCTCTTCAAGTCATTGATCCTTCACCCACTCCACACACTGCCCAGACATCTCCCTTCCACTATCTACACAGGAAGACCTGCAGGAAAGACCCTGACTGACATTGTAGGGACAAGATATTAACCTCTAAGCCCACAGCCTGCCTCTCTCTCTCTCTCTCTCTCTCTCTCTCTCTCTCTCTCTTTCTACTTCTCTGTGATGGTTACTTTTCCTTTCAATGCCTTGCCCTATCTTCACTGCTCTATCCCACCCCACTTCAAACTTGTAAAGGACTACATTTTAATCTGCATCAGAACAGCATAGAGTGCCTTGCATTGGACAAACATCTTTTACACGGACTGTGGAGTAAAAAGCTTTGACTCCTAGTAAAACAAATTCAGGCATCAGAGAGACGGCAGAAGTGACACCAGCTCTTAGAGTAGAGGGAGGAGGGTAGGTCAGATCAGATGCAGGGCCTCTGGCCTGGGTGTTCTGATTCCTTGTCCTCATTCTGGGAAGGTTATTGCCCTACTGTGACTGTGTCTTTGGTTTGGCTGGGAATTCTGGGTATCACAGCAGCGTGGCTGTGGCTGCCAAATCCTTGGGGCATGGGGCACAGCCGACCTGTAAGTAACACCCATATGGCTCATCACCTGGCCCCCTCATCTATGCACCCCAATATCGCAGGTGCTGGGAGTCCAGAGCCACATTCCCTTCGCTGCTCTCCATTTCAGGGCCAGTACTGCTACTCGGAGTCTTCCAGGGCAGCTGCACTCTCCAGTGTGCCATTTACCTGAGCAGAGAAGCCTGTCTGGATCTCGAGCTCAGTCACAGTGCAATCAACATCATCGCCCACAAAGCTTCCTTTTATAACTATCAGAAATATTTTCTTTAGCTTCCAGTTTTCAATTAGGTGCTTTTATGTTTTTCATCAGATATTAACCCTTATAATCTATTCATTTCTTTTCTCAGCGGAATTAAAATGTCCTTATGTGTTCTTTACAAAGCTGATTTCTCAGTGGTAAACATTTAAAACAAAGCAAGAAATTGCCTTTTATGTAATAATCTAAAATCCTATTGCAAAGCCATTTTATCTAATTGTTCTGAAGTATAAAGAAGGAAAAAAAGGCTTGGCCAAATAGCTCTGTGAATTATAGCGCTTGCAAGCAGGTGCAGGGGCCAGGGGTTACATCCTTGGGGCATGCCTGTGCGGGCCCCACCCCTGGGGCACACTGAGACAGCAATTGAGACTGGGCGTGGTGTGCGTGCCTGTAATCCCAGCTCCTGGGAGGCTGTAAACAGGTGGATCACTTGAGTCCAATCTAGTAGTGAGACCCTGAATACCCTGTAGACGCTTCCCTAAAATACGGAAAAGAAAAGAATTAATTTTTTTCCCCATGCTTGCTTTGGCAGCACATATACTGAAATTTTTTCCCCAAAAACAACTCTCTAAGTTTATTTTACTCAGATATATGTTTTAAATGAAACTGTTCCGGGGTATAAAATATTAAGTAAAACATAAAGCAATTCAGAGCAAGAAAAAGGACCAAACTGAGATCTCCAATTTGCATGTGGTTACTACGCAATTATTTTCTGACCTACTTTCACACTTTGAAAATACAACAATAAGCTGCTCTGAGTCTTCCACAACTTCCCAATCCCTACAATCTTGAGGCACAGCTGGAAGACTCGTAGGGAAAGAGCTCAGCCCTAACCAACTAGCTAAGCAGCTCAGCATCTAACCTGAACCTCCACATTCAAAGCACTGTGGTATCAACTTCCTTCCCCTGGACCAGTCCTTACTATAGCAGGCATGTACTGAGCGCCTCCTGCACACCACGCCACGTGGGCATCACCAGTATGTACACCTCCAATGAACCCATAGAAGGATGTTCCCATTATCCTTAAACCCTTATTCAAATCTTATGTTTCTTAATCCCATAAAAATTGGAAATTCTTTCTTGGTATAGCTTGACAGCAGCTGTGATCTCTGCATCCCCACTTTTCGGGATGCTGCCAACACTTTGGGCATCCCCAGCTGTCTGCCCCAAATCCCGATACTAGGATTCTGGCTGGCAGCTGTCAGAACATAAACTACAGAGCTAGGCAATGAAACCTATGGATAAGGAACAACTAGGTGACTCTATTAAGTCCCCAGTACAACTGGAAAAGGATTTCAGTGGTTTAGCCCAAGAATCTACTTAACGCCTACTGAGAGTTATATCATTTGTAAGTTCAGAACTGTTTATAAAAAGACTGACTTATTTGGTGAAATAATATTCATCTTTTACAAAACAAAATTCTCAAAATCTACTTATATATGTAGGCCATGGTAGTAAATGCATACCAACTTTTCTCAGTTTTGAAAAAATTACATGGTTATTATAAAATGGCTTTTATTTTCTTTTTAAAATATAAAACCATATGTAGATTTGTCATCAGTACAAAACATAAAAACTCAAAAGTTGGCACTTTCTTGGTCATTCCTCATTGTGTATGAAGTGTCTAATATACCCTCCCTTTTTCTATGTGTGCACACTAACCTCTCTCTCTCTCTCTCTCTCTCTCTCTCTCTCTCTCTCTCTCTCTCTCTGAAATTATTTATTTGGTACAGGGTCTCACTACACAGCTCAGACTCCTGTCTCTGCCTCCCCAGTGCTGGGATTAGAGGTGTGCACCACTACACCCGGTTTTGGGGTCAACAAGGTATGTGGTACCGGAGATTGAACATGGGTGCTTGCACTTGTCAGGGAGGTGCTTGGACCGCAAAGCTATCCCTCCAGCCCTCTTCTCTCTCTTTATAATAAGGGTGCTCTGATTCTAGCTGAAAATCATTGGTTTCACCAGAAGGATCTCTGTCAAGCTGAGAAGCGAAGCTTCCAACACCAACTTATTAGAGACAGAATAGAGGAAAAGTGGCTCTGGCCAAGGTGACCTAGTGCTCTGTCAGGCCTGCAGCTGCATGGCAGATCGATCTGAAATGCAACCTGTAGCAAGGCGGAGCACCTGTTGTACACCGCAGCCAGTCATAGCTCTGAGAACACCATGGCTGCCAGCAGGAGTGCTGGGGTTGGTACATACCCTAAAGAGTAGAGGCGGCACTGCTTGCTGCGGATTTGATGAGCTAAGCCAAACCTGTCATCAAGACACACCAACCAGGGTTTGTTTGCAGGGCTGGAGTCAGTAGCCAGGCTGTCTGCGCTCAAGTGATTGCATGCAATCTGTAGAAATTGGAAATCAATATGAATAATTTAAAATGCTGGATGATAAATGGCAGGTAGAGACTTACTGCTTCTCTGGTCCCTGAAAGCCTTAATAGGAGAGTTATGTCCTCCACTGCTAACTACTCTCCTCCCCGGGGAACCACAAGACTCCTGTAAAATGTTTGGAGGAATTTCAATCACATACCAGATAAGAAGTGACTTCGTGGAGACTCAGTGCAGACTTGAAGGGAAGCAATGAGCTGCTATAACCATTTGCCCAGAAAACAGATCAGGAGCAGAGATGAGAGGAAAGAGGCTTTGCAGAGGTACATTAGTCTGGGAGAAGGAAGAGACATTGACAGAGAGCCTCAGGCCAAGGGGGCACAGTGGACCCAGGACAGCATGGCATCCCCACTGGAAGATGTTGTTACAGCCACGGGCACAGATCTCAGAAGGATGCTCACAAAGTTCTCTATTCTTTACTCCAGGCGGATAAGGTGGGCCACTAAAGTCACAAAGGTGGCATGTGTTACCCAAGGTAGACAGCAAAGCACGGGTCAAGGGAAATTATGGGGCAGTCTCTGCTCATAAAATGGTATTTTTCTTAAGAAACTGCTCTAATGAGCTTCCTCCTGGGAGAGCAGGGCAAGAGTCGCAGGCAGGAGGCTCTTAGAAGCGAAGCAAGGCACTTTTCTTAACTCATCCATCAAAATTAGGTAAGAAAACCAAAGAGAATTTAAATCTAAGACAAGCATAAGTAAATCTCTAACTCCAAGTGCACATTAAACAAACATACTTTATAAAGAATGTTGATTTGGGCTTGAGACCTGTGCATTTTGTGACTGAAGATACTCCCCTCCTGAGCACCAGTATGCTCCTCCTCACCACCCCCCCAAAGGCCACAGTCACCATGCTACCCATGCCATGCAGCTCTGGCCATCACGTCCCAGACTATGGATGGCTCCAGAAGAAAAAGATGTTTGCTGCTTTATTTCATTAGAAAAAAATAACAGCAAGGGCTCTCTTCATGACAAGAAATTCTCAAACTGCCTAATCCATTTATTTCCCTGATTTTCCAAAGTTTTATTCTAGGATGCACATATCACATTGAGCTTTTTTTATTTTTAAACTTAATTTTTTTTTACATTTATTTATTGTGTGTGTGTGTGTGTGTGTGTGTGTGTGGCCAGTTCAGCCCACCAGGAGGCGGGGCTGGCTGGCATGTGGTGCTAGGGGATCGAACCGTGGTCCCTGTGCTTTGCTAAGCTTGTTCTAAGTAGGTGCTTTAGACCACTGAGCCATATCTCCAGACCCCCACACTGTGCTTTTTAACCAGTACAGCACGTGCATTACTATTGCTATAACCCTGGGCTGGCAAGCAAGACTGTCCCGACAGTCTGTATCAGCCTTGATGAGAGTCTTCTGCTAGGACCGGGACAGTTTAGAAGAAAGTTAAAACAGAGAAAGAGCTGGATATTCTTTTCTTTCAACCCAACATCTTTCTACTTTTCTGTCTCCAATCACTGTTGAAGGAGAAAACTAATAATAGAAAATGGAATGGAATTTTCTCTCAAGCAACTACTACCAAATACATTGGTTAACTGGGAGCATCAACATGCTGTTCTGTATCATTTGCCTTCTACTGTCCCCCAGTGAAGAAAAGGAAGTCATGCTCTACCAGTCTACATCTTTCTCACCCATCCATCGAAGGGAAGGGAAGTTGCCACTGGAATTAGTCAGAGCACAGTTGTGTTCATTCAGTCCTGATCTACTGCTGATGTGTAGTCTTTAAAGCAGTGCCACAGGGCAGTGACGCCCTGCCCCTAGCTCCCAGGCAGGGTGTGCGAGTTCGGCCAAGAGGCCCCGAGGCTGAGAATGAGCCTTGAGAAAAGACGCTATGACCTCTCAGGGCAAGAAAATTATACATCAAAACTGAAGCGCTGACCCCAAAACACTAGATACTGCCCCAATCTGTGATGTGCAGGTTCCTCTTTCTGCATCTCTCTGTAAATTGCAGAGGTGATTTCAGGCCTCCTACCTAGCCCACCTCATAGCATCATATACTTTCTATCACTCTCAGTCACCTCATGCCACTGTCCTCTTCAAGAATTGATAAAACCTGGGTTTGGCCCTGTGTAGAGTTCTTTGTTGCAGTTAGTGATTATTCTGACTGGACTTAGGTCCCCTTGGCTCCCCACAGCTACAAACATGACTCAATGTTTTGATTCTTGCCATGCACTGCCCTGGAAGTGGTAGGCTAGAATTGACTTCTTGGAACTCTAATAACTTTCCCCTGGAATTACAAATATAAACCTTCCAGACTGTGATGAGGTCCAGTATAGGCTTTCTATAACCTACTAGTGGATAGATGGGCACATTTGTTAGCATGCTTCTCAGTGTCCTTCCTCCAGTAGAGAGCTGGCTGGTCGAGGGCAGTCCTATGCGCATTCCTGGACCTCCTAAGCTAGAGCCATTTGCTCAAGGGCAGCTCTCTGGAATATTCTTATTAAAGAGCTAATGGTTGCTTGCCATTGCTACTGTTCTTGGTGAGCACTTTTCCACCAAGAACCTACAGATGTGAGATGCTAAGTATGTCTTCAGATCCTTCACTCATGCTTCTCTTCTGAAAGCACCAAGATCTAACTCTAGCCTCTTTCACAGTGTTGAAGGCATGATCTCACATGCATCAGACTCACTTGGGAAGCACTTAAAAATGCAAGTTCCTGGGTTCCTCCCCATATCTACAAAATCAGAATCTTTGAGACTGACACCTGGAAACATGCCTTCTACGAAATTCCTGCAGGTATGTCTTACGCAGATGGTCCTGAGAGTGCCCTGGAGGATGGACTCATAAAGGCCAGGGAAATTTCCAAACTGTCTCACTTGTGCCTTTGTGAATTAAGGAAAAAGAATATACTTGAGCCAGAGCTTTCAACGGAAAGCAGCAGCCCCTTGACCTCATCCCTACGGAAGGGCCAGAGCAGTTGGAAGAGTAGCCAGAAGCCCCCAAAAGTCAGGGAGGAAGGCCAAGAGTCAGAAGTTTGAGATCTATTTTCTCTTCCTTTGCCAGCAGTAGCTAGGCTTTTATTCTATTAAAGATAATTCTTTGACTAATTAAACATTTCTACTTATTCAAAGATTTTATCTTGTACAGACATCTTCCTATTAGAGACATTCCTTCCCAGGCAGTCTCTCTAATAATGCTCCTCTTTCCTCCCTTAGCTCAAAAATAAAACCATAAGAATTATAGTTTTAACTACTTATTAACTGTCTCATAACTTTTGAAAATAACTAGGAATCTTCCACAAAATCCTGCTCCTCAAATTAATTAAATATTGATTTTTTTTTTCAAACTGGCTAGTTAAGATTTATGACCAGGGCTTCAATAAACTTCTTGCAAGCAAAATAAGTAAGGGCAGCAACTCTGAGCTAAGCTCCAACTCAAGTAATTACGCTCTCTGTCTGCCTAATTCCCCCTATAATTTGAGCCACATAAAAGTGAATTAGGCCTGGACAAAGGAATATAGACTCCAGGAAAAAATGTTTTCAGAAATTATTTTTAGTTATTTCACTTAAATGAATCTAATTTCTTTTCATTTTGTTTGCATCCCAGAAGGTTGAATAGCATGTCTGCCAATCTGTAAGGAGAATGTGAGAAAAAAGAACCCTTACATTTAGGGATTTCTGGCAGTAATTACTTCAATAACCAACTGTCCTGTTATTTAGAAGCATTCAAGGGCAGAATTATATTTTTGTTGTTTTTGTCCTTACGTGTGTGTGTGTGTGTGTGTGTGTGCGTGTGTGTGTGTGTGTGTGTGTGAGAGAGAGAGAGAGAGAGAGAGAGAGAGAGAGAGAGAAACACAAATACAATGGATACCACTGTTATCATGGTATATTATAAATGGTTGTAAAGTTACAGTCTGAACTTCCCGAGCCTGAGTTCTTAGATTATTTTTACAGATAGATGAATAGATAATTAGACACATATATAATAGAAAAAGAGTCTTCAAAACATTTTTTTTTCATATCTAAAACAGCCACTGTTGCTTAGATTGATTTTCTACTGCAAGGCTTACTTCCTGGAAGCATATGGTTTGGGGGTTGCCATAAAAAACTGGATCTGGAAACCTTCCGCAGAACCAAGTGCTGTGTTTATGACTTAACCATTTCTTGATAGCAACAGATAGTATATCGCGGACTATAGAACCTCATCCTGCAATAGTTTTTCATGTTAAAAAATATATACCTAACTAGACTAAACTTGATGTTCTGGGTCCGCTACCCACATACTATAGCCTCTGCTGTTGCATTAAAGACGCAGGGCCCAAACATACCACCATGGTCCCCCAAATCAGCCAGTCCAGGAGGAGCATGCCCGTGGCTATGCCTCTACTGCCAGTCTTCCTGGACCTCAAGACTGTTCCTGGTCCTCTGTGCACCTCTGTCAGAGGCCACATGCCTCCCTGGCACTGCAGCTGCTTAGAGGAAGGAAGATAATTTTATTCAGGTTTGATATCCCAGAGTCCAGCACAATGCCAGCCACAAAAGAGGTGCTCAGAAAATTCCTGCTGTTCTTGATGTATGAAAAATATCAAATGCTGGACCTTGCTATGTACAAGTTTGATCACACGTTTGTGGAGAATTTTTTTTTTTTT